AGATTTGCAGTTTTTTCGAATTTTGGGATTTTATTACTTCTGGCCTTATTTCATTATAAATGGACTGAATAATAATTATTATCATCATTATATCATTACTGTCATTATTTTCACGATTATTATCATTATAGTCATTATCATCATGATTATCATTATTATTATCATCATTATTGCAGTTTTAATATTATTATGCTAATTATATTGCTATTTTTATCATTATAACCATTTATATAATGATATAGCAATAATTATAATTTTAGAAATAATAATGACAATAATAATAATTATAATGACAATGATAATGATATTATTATTTCTATTGCCATTATTAGTATGAAAATTATTGGAATAGAGTTAGTTTATTGCAGTAATTATCAAAACTATCATTATAATTATTGTTATTATCATTGTCATTATCATCATAATTATCATCTTATTGTCAATAATAAAGGAATCATCATGGAAATCATCATAATTACCTGAATTAATGATAAATCCTCATAATTACCATTAAAAAGCGAAAAAGGGTGTTTTTCGACGTTTCTCTCAAAAGGCTGTAATACGCTAGATTTTGCCGTTTTTTTCGACTTTGGGATTTTATTACTTATGGCCTTTATTTCATTATGAAATGAACTGAATAATAATTTTATCATCATTATTATCATTACGGTCATTATTTTCATGATTATTATCATATAGTCATTATCATCATGATTATCATTATTATCATCATTATTGCAGTTATAATAATTATCATGCTAATTATTATTGCTATTTTATCATTATAACTATTTAAATAATGATAATAGCAAAATGATAATTTTAGAAATAATAATGACAATAATAATAATTATAATGACAATGAAATGATGTTATTATTATTTCTTTGCCATTATAGTATGAAAATATAGGAATAGAGTTAATTATTGCTATTATTGCAGTAATTATCAAAATTATATTATAATTATGATTTTCTCATTATTATTGGCATTATCATTGTCATTATCATCATAATTATCATTATTATCAATAATAAAGGCATTATCATGAAATCATCATAATGACCTAAACTAATGTTAAAATCCTCATAATTACCATTAAAAAGAAAAAGTTTTTTTCGACGTTTCTCTCAAAAGGCGTTTTTTCGACTAATGGGATTTTTTACTTCTGGCCTTTATTTCCTTATAAATGGACTGAGATAATAATTATCATTATTATCACTACTGTCATTATTTTCATGATTATATCATTATAGTCATTATCATCATGATTATCATCATTATCATTATTGCAGATATAATAATTATTATGCTAATTATTATTGCTATTTTTATCATAATAACTATTCATATAATGATAATAGCAATAATGATAATTTAAGAAATAATAATGACAATAATATAATTATGATACAATGATAATGATATTATTTCTATTGCCATTATTAGTATGAAAATTATTTTAATAGACTTAATTATTGCTATTATTGCAGTAATTATCAATATTATCATTATAATTAGTCATTATCATTTATCATCATAATTATCATCCTTATTGTCAATAATAAAGGAATTATCATGAAAATCATCATAATTACCTGAAGTAATGTTAAAATCCTCATAATTACCATAAAAAGCGAAAAAGGTTTTTTTTCGACGTTTCTCTCAAAAGGCTGTAATAGGCTATATTTTGCCGTTTTTGTTATTATAATTATAATGACAATGATAATGATATAATTTCTATTGCCATTAATAGTATGAAAATTATTGGAATAGCGTTAATTATTGCAGTAATTATCAAAATTATTATAATTTTCATTTATCTTATTATTGTCATTATCATCATAATTATTCATTATTTTCAATAATAAAGGAATTATCGTGAAAATCATCATAATTACTGAATCAATGTTAAAAAACTAATAATTACCATTAAAAAGCGAAAAAGGTGTTTTTTCGATTCTCTAAGGCTGTAATACGCTATATTTTCGTTTTTCGACTTGTGGGAATATATTTACTTCGGCCTTTATTTCATTATTAATGGACTGAATAATGATTATCATCATTGTCATTACTCTCTTTACTTTCCTCATTATTATCATTATATTCATATATATACATACATAGCTTATATATATATATATATTATATATATATATATTATATATATATATATATATATATATATATTATATATATATATATATATATATATATATATATATATAATATATATTATAATATATATATTATATATATATATATATATATATATATATATATATATATATATATATATATATATATATAGTATTATAGATTATTATAATATTTATTATATATTATAATATATATTTTATATTATATATATTATTATATATAATATATATATATTATATATTATATATTTAATTATATTATTTATAATAATATTATTTATATTTATATATACATATTATTATATATATATATACTAATTATATATATTAATTATATATATT